CCCCCCCCTTAATATACATTATTAAGGGGGGCCCTCGTTTTGCCACCCATCCCACACCATTCGCCACAGTAAAAGCCCTTCCTTGCAGAGTTCCGGCATGCTGCAGTTGGAGGCAGCCTCGAGGCAAGTCTCGAAGGATTGGCAACATTTGCCTGGTGGTCCAACAAGCGGGGGCCTTCAGTTGAACCGGGATGGCGCTATAGGGGGTGTTGACCCCCCACCACGCCTTCTGGAGCTGTCGAAGCATGTTGGGCGAAAGATTGGCAGTTGCTTCCTTGGCCTGAACAAGGGACTAAACATCTGCCATGAATACACTGCCTTTAGATATCACGTCCTTTAAGGGTGCTGGTATAGTCTAAAACCTCATGGGCCCGCACACTATCCGTGTATGCATAGACCAAGAGCTGGCGCAAAATGCACACGGACAGGGCATGCGGAACCTCAGAACAGGGTCACCTTATGCCGAACAGTCTGTTCTCGTTGATGGGAAGATCTTAGACTCTCAGCACCAAGCGATGATGGGAGACTTTCCCATTGCCTTGTGGTCCTGAACTCGTGCACAGCTGCTCCAAAGCTGCACATTTTCCGGTTCTGGCTGCATGATGCTACATGTACTTGTGGCTATCTTTGGAGACTTGCAGCCTGAAAACGGAGCTACAAAAGGGTCCGTTGAGCTACGGCTCTTGCATGAACTCCACCCAAACTCCGGACCAACGCCAAAAAAGAATCGATGAGTTTCGAGTTAGTCCACGTACTACAACAAGCTCTCAAAGTTGTAGAGATTTGCATGTTTCATTACTAAAATCCTAGACTTAAGTTTGTGTATTCTAGATCGTTTGGCTCCATCCGCAGCAGTTCGGATAGTGGCTTTCCAACAGTCTATATTGGGCAGCAAGAGATCATTTCTGCCCAAGCTTCTGCAATCAATCGATGGAAGAATGGAAGCCTTGGCAATTTGCACGGGGAAGCTTTCCCAAGACATTGAAGGACAAAACACTGTAGTGTCTATGGTCTCATATAGAGTCGTCTAAGGGCCTGACCGGGACAGAACAATACTGTGAGCATGAACCAAGGTGGATTCTTGGCCTGCATTGTATGAGAAATCAATCTATATATAATCAGAGAGCTCGATTCACCTCTATTTGATTTGTGTTTATCTTATGTCTTTGAGTCTTCGTGGCATTGGTCAATCCCACCTTCGCCCGGCTCCATCACTGCCAGCAAAATATCCGCACTGGACGTGTCCGTGAGGAGCGCTTTCCTGAAACGCCCACGGACGGCCAACGCTGAAACAACGCCTCGCAGCGCACGAACGAAGCAAAGCGAATTCGCCCAGGGACAAGTAGGAGCCGAGACTTGGAATAGGGCTGTTGTCCACCTCGGTGAGCGCGACGCGTCAAAATCAAACTGCTTACCTGACATCGCCCTTTTGGTTTTATAACACAACTCTTTGCAGAACCTGCGCCATAAAACATCTCAAAGCATTCCGATTCTCTCCCAAGACCTCAAAGATGTTGGTGGTCTGTCCAGTGCGAGGGGTCGGAGACTGCTTGTCCTTGTCCTGCAAAGGCCCGAATCGCCCCGCCAGGGTCGAAACTGCAAATCCGAGTGATTCAAACATGGCCTGACTTGCGCGAATGTCAACGGGAAAGAGGTGGCCAGAACTGTTAGCAGACTGCACCGACTCTGCAATCGATGGCCTCACAGTGGCTCCCCCATCTATATACATGATGCTGCCAGCTTGCGGATTCTTTTTCCTCCATCTCTCTCTCTCTCTTTCCCCTGCACGTCCCTCAATGGCACCACTCCACCAAGCGCCTTCGTTGCAATTCTTTCACTGGAGCCTGTCAAGGAACATCATTCACTAATTGTTGAATGGACATTGACTAACCTCGACCAGTGTCAGGCCTGTGCAATCGTAGTTCCAAGACTGGCACCTGGCACCCAGTGCTTACAAACACGACCTCTCTGAATTCACTTGACATTTAATTATCGCTCTCCACAACCATCAATGAGAAAAAAGGCAAGGTTTTTCATGTAACGACGATGGCCTGGAGGTGGAGCTTGCTGGATGGGTGCTTTTGGCGGACTTCGCAGCAGCCATCTCAGCAAGGGACTGGTCCTGAGGCAGGCCGTGATGCTCAGTCGCTGAAATCGACAACGGCCAAAGCGAAGTCTCTCGAACCTGATCGATGCAGCTTCATCAGCCAACACTTTCGTGTGGGTGAAGCTGCTCTGGTGCCAAGGGTTTTGGAAAGGATGTGCAGCCTCAGCATCGAGTACGTTCCGGTCGCCTGAGGAGATCTGGTCGTACGTTGGGGCTGAGAGGCCAAATTGGATCGCATTGCTTCAAAGCCTTCGCCGGTTTCACAGGCTTCCTGTCCAGCCAAGCAGAACGAATCAGCGTCACACGGTTCACAGAGATGTTCATAAATGTAAAGTTAGAAGCCAACGACCTTGCTGCTTGAAAGGGGAAATGATGGAAAATGCCTGATAGATGTCTCTGATTTCACTGAGGCGTTGCCTCGGTTTCCCAAGGCAAAAACTGTGCCGATCGCGCACCGATCCAACCAAAGTCTGTGGTTTCTATTTTTTTTCCCAGTCAGGCCCGGGCAAGAAGTCTTCCAAAGAGAAGATCGACAGCAAGTGGCCATGCCCTCGAATCGACATGTGCCTTAATCAGCCCGAATCAGCTTTTGTGAAGATCAGCTTTCCACCCTCTGTAGCTTGTCATGCTAGTTTGCGGAAGTCAACATAGTCAACAAGTAAAACCATGTAAAACTACGTAACATTCCATTCCGTGAAGATCTGCTTCACGGTCTGGGGAAGGCGTCCTGAGAACTTCACTCGTCAAGGCCCATGGCGTGGGCTAAGGGATGCTTGGCCTTTCCCAACATCCAACGCCTCGGTTGGGCGAAGTTCTCAGCTCAGTGCCATCGACTCAGTTCAGTCTGGTTTCGAGACACCAAGACCTTCTTCTCCTCTTTGTGCTACTTTAACCGAGATCCGAAGGACATTAACCGAGTCTGCTTCGCTGAGCATTCTCTGAGATCTTCACTTGTCAGCCAAATCTTGGGAAGATGTTGGTGCATTCGGGTCCCGCAAGCATTGCTGAACCTGAGAGGAAGGTGGTGGGATTGATTGGTCTAAGTGACAAACGGAACTTGGTGCGTCATTGACCCCTCAGTCAGTCCGTGTCAGGTCTCCGGCCGTGTTGACAGTCTGCTGAAATCGCGAAAGTGGGGAGGGCTTCCTTGCAAAGGAAACGCAGGAAAAGAGAATAGGACCAACTTCAATCAGACCGTTTGCTCTTTCTCAGGATTCTTTGCTCATCTTTGCTTCTGCGGAGCGCTAGTGAAGTGAACCTCTCCAGCACTTAGATCCCTGCTCAAGGCAGCAAATCACAATCTCTGGCGCATCCTTGGTTTCTTTCCGATTTCGACTCCCTTCTCATCTCTTCGGAAGACATGCATCAAGCCAATCAAGCTGACCAAAGCCTGGCTGTTAACCCTTGGACTTGACCAACGAGGCTCATTTTGGAAGTCCAGGACGTCCGTGAGAGTGTGAATCTCCTACGAATGATGCGACTTGATCTGAGTGAATCTTATGATATCTTATGTCACTGTTCGCTCTGAAACTGAAGCGCTTTGAGCGCTCCAGGTGCAATTCGGCGTTGCCAAAGACCTGCACGTGCAACATCTACTTTGAATGATGCACTTCTCAAGTCGTAACTTGGGTCTTTCCATCTTTTGACACATCTACTTTAATCATCTTTAATCTAGGCCTCTCTAGTGATGACGTTCGCTTCTTCCACCAAAGGATGCACATGGTGCCTGCCCATTGGTGAAAGCACTTGGCACTTGGTCTTCTCACTCGTATTAGAAAACACTTCTGGTCACCATAGCTGGGCTTCGGGCAGGGCGCTCAAGAAGCTCTTGACAGTGCTTGCTGAGGCTCGGTTGCTGAGATTGTTGATGAAGGAGAAGGCACTCACCTCGCTTTCATATAGAATCCAAAAAATACAGCCTTAACGGCAGCCTTCGGTTTCGCTCTTTCATTTATTTTCTCCGCTCGTTGTTGGGAGGCCGTCTTGTCTTTGGCTTGTGATATTTAAGAGCACTGCCTTGTCTCCAGAGTCCTAGCCCACAATGCCCCAGCATGGAGGCAAACAAAAAAACGAAACCTTGACCCAATGAACATTGCCAAGTTCATTGAACAATTTGACATCGTGTTTCTTTTTGTTCGGGCCTCCAACTGCTTGCCTTCCACACAAACAGCCTCCTCGAATGCAGAAGAAACGTCCAGCTTTGGAACCTGAGCACACGGGTCGAAGGTGGCCCTGCACACTCTGAGTGTGGTGCTACCAGTGACTTGAAGGCGTTCTGCGGCTCCGGCGGTGCTGCGCGCCACTTGCAGATACTCAGGAGGCGAAGAAAAGTGAACAGGATGCGATGAAGTGAATGCTGGAGAAATCAAGTGCCACGCTAGTAGTAACAAGTGCCACGCTAGTAGTAACAGGTGCCTTACTAGTAGTAACAAGAAGCTAGTAGTAACAAGTGCCACGCTAATTGTATGGATTTTCCATGATTCTGAAAGTAGAGTGCAAAGAAAAGAGATTCGACGCAGTCAGTTCGTCAGGTGTAGACTGTATACTTTATAAAGATGTATACAGATAAGAAAAAATACTACCCATATATTAATCGGTTACCATCATTTACCCCCAAATCCATTGAAATTGAAATAATGGACCAACTGAAGTAGAAAGCACAAAGAATACTAGAACACAACAAATAGTCTCAGGCTTGGACCTCCGATGATCCGGCTTGTTTCACTCTTTCGGGTGTTGGCTCCTGAATGTAAACCCACCCAAGTTGTCCCTGCCCTTCTGGCATGCTGCGGCATGCTGCTATGCCACTGGGCTGTTCGTTTCAAGGCTCAGATGCACACCACCAAACGGAAGGCATGCGAATAGCCAAGGATCAAACCTGGACAACCCACGTGATGACAGTCACAAAACATGAACGGAAAAAAACAACATCCCCTTGAACCCTTCTGTCTTGAGACGCCGCTGTTTAACAGGTTGTTGCTGGGGCAGCGGCAGTCACCATGCTTCATTTTCTCAGGCTCGTCTGGCCTTGCAACACTTGGCTTCTGTTCAACTCGTGTTCGTTCGTTCAAATTGATCTCGTTCGCTGCCCCTCGGTCTCTCATGATTTCCGTGTCTCTTGGTGCATGTTTCAAACACATCATTGGGCACGTCTGGTGTCTAAGCCTTAGAAGCAGCGCTGGGCCAATGGCTGGAGCATCTTGCCATTCAGGAGAACACGAACAGTGCTGCCGCCTTCCTCCTTCAAAGCCTGACCACAACCCGGAGGGTGCAAGGCAGTCTCAAACCGATCAGATGCAAGCATTGTGGCCCAATGACAAAGCCCAAAGGAACAATGCTGGATATGAGCCTCCACTGATACTTCACCTTTTTCGCAATGCACTGAACACATCTCAGACCTCGTTGTGAAAAGACACGTCAAATCACAGCGGAGCTTTTTTCACAACATGTATGGATTGGCTAAACCAAATCACAGCACAGCAACTTCATTCAGCATGCTGAGATCATTGCGTAATGCCCACACCCATGAGCACTATGTCGCAATTTCCCTCGCAGCTCCCAATTTGCACCTGTTCCTGGTCCAGTGGAAAGTTGCAGCCTCAATTGCGGTGCTCCACTTGCTGAGTTGAGCCCGGCCACGCTGAGCCGGGAAGGGCCGGTGCTGTGAGAGGGGCCGTGGTCTGACCACGCGAGCGTCTTGTGCGATCGCTTCGCTCTCAGGGTCGAACAGCCTTGCAAGGCTGGGTCATCGCAAAGTTTCCTCAGACCCAATCAACTCTCGGTGATCGCAAACATGTCACCTTCCCATGTCACTCCTGAATCGCTTTCTGCTGTGCCACACTTTACCAAATCAATACCAACGGAATCAACCGAATCGCTCTGCTGGTCGGTTAAGTACTCTGAGCGTCGTGAGGAATGGGTAAAGCTGCTCTTCTTCCTCATCTGCTTCGCTTACCTGTCAGAACACGGACTCTGAGCCTTGAAATAAAACCACGGCGAGGACACCAGAACATCCCGGATTCAATAGTTTCAAGCTGTTGAACACTCCTTGCCAATTGTGAGATTTCTCAATTTCCCTGGCCTCCGACTTCATTGATTTAGTGGCTGCAAAAAGTGAAGCCACTGATCCGGTCCTCAGTGGGTGGACTCTGGGTGATCAACTACACATCAAAGTGAACATGTGCAACACATGCGGTGACTTGAACTTGATCAAAGCACACTTTTGATCTCTCCTCATTTTCACCCCACCAACGGTACTTTGGGCACCATTGGCCACAAAGACATGTGTACAAGACGGAACGAACTCCGCACGCAGCATCAAACGATTCAGATCTGATCCTGCTGGATGATCCGGACCTGGTCTGTTGCGAACGTTCACGTCATCCTTTTCAGACATGTTACGTTCGTAGCTTCTTGCTACTAATATTAGTAATGGCCTCCAAGCTACTAGCAATGGCCTCCAACCTACTAGCAGCTTCTTGCTGCTAGGCCAAGTGATGACAACCACAGCATGGCACAATGTTCTGCTTTCAACGAGCTGCATAAGCATCCTCTAAGGATGCTTGTGACACCCCCCAATGGCGGATGCCATGCTTTGCCTGGTGCCAAAAAACGAATTGAAAGCTACATCCGGTGCATCCCTCCTTCTTCACGTGAGGTTCGTTTCGTTTCCGGCCTTCCCACGTGCTATGCTGATGATGAGATGCCCAAGTGCTTCTTCATCTTTGGAGAACTTGTACGTCTTCTGCCCGTCCCTGCAATCTGGTGACTTCTCACGATTCTCACAGCCTCTGATTCTAGGTCCTTTCTGCCTACGACTTTGATAATGAACAGCCCTTTTTCTGAACGACTCTGATTCCATTGGTTCCTGAACACTCCTTTGCGACTGGATGACATATCGTCACTGGCCTTTGCGACTTGACCGGCGTCTGGTCCTCGGGGTCCAAGAGAGACGTGATGAACTCCTGGGCCTCGACTTCCTGTGATTCGCCCGATTCACCCGACCAAACAAAACACCATGCCAGGCCTCTCAAAAACCACACAAGAAAAAGGGTGGCCCTTGCGACTGGTGAAATTGGGTGACCTGTCTTCTAAGGACATAGTAGCAGCAGCATCACAATAAGCAATCCAAACTCCGAAGCTGCAAACATCTGCGTCAAATGGAAACCTGTCCTGAGACTTCTCGCAGTCCACGCCTGATTCTTCTAGAGTTGTGCAGAAACCCTTTGTTTGCAAATTCAAATTGCTCACTGACTCTCAACCAAGGCACTCAGCATGTAGCCTTGACCCCATTCATGCTTCAAAGCTTGAACCTGCATCGCATCACATGTGCACCCCATTCACTACAAGGACTAGAAAGACCTCACACCGGGATGAAGGGGAATCTAGATCCAGCCAAGGAACCGAGCCCTGAGCTGCCACGACACCATTCCTCAGGATCACCTGAAGTGTTCGACTCATAGCCGATCGCCCAAAGGAATCTCAACGAGTGTTGACCACTCGGTGACCGCGATTTCGGTCAGTCACGTCGAGATTAAAAACAGTACGACATATGAGCCTTTGACCCAATGGCCACCCTCCCAGTTCTGAGATGCCGGCAAGATAGCTCGCCAGGTGCTCAGCTTCTTCCAGCCTCACGAGCAAGAGAACTGAGTTCAACGGAATGCAAACCCAAATAAATGTAAGCCCTCGGAGAGCAAAACGTAGATTGCGGGGTGTGTGTGTGTGTGTCTATGTGTGTATGTGTGTGTGTGTGTATGTATGTAGGTAGGTAAGCAGGCAAGCAGGCAGGCAGGTAGGTAAGAGTTGGGCGAGTGCCGGTTCGGCTGGGCATGTTGCCCTCAATGGACGGCGCCTCACTTGCGCACGCCAGATTCGCTCAGCTGTGCACACAGCTTTTCTTGATACAAGTAACTCGCCTGCGCACACAGGATTCGATCACCTGCGCACACATCGATTACATCCTTGTTCAAACTGTGCCTGATACCTCAAAACTCACCTGCGCACACAGATTTCGCTCACCTGCGCACACACAAATTGGTTTGATGTGATGTGTACACGATATGTCACTCTTTCATGATGTGTCGTTGGGTCAGGTCTCCACACACATGCTCGTGTCAATAGCGTCCCTCTAGACATTCATCTACATGATGATCCCTTTTTGCTAATTGTTTCCTTCCTTCCTTCCTTCCTTCCTTCATTCATTCATACAGCAGAGCAAAGCGGCGTGCGCAACCGAGAAAGCGCGTGCACGACCGAGCAAATCCAAGCGCGTGTACAGGCGAGCAAATTCCACGTGTACAGCCGAGGCTCCGCCCGCCCTCAAGTGGTGAGCCCCGCTTCAGAAATAGTCCACAGTCATGAAGGTCTCAGGCTCGTCGACCTCTGCGGTCATGACTGCGTCCTGAAGGCGGGGCCAGTCTTCGCCTAGGAGCTGACAGCTCCGTGCTGGGCTGTGAGGTAGCCATGCGGAGTGGGCTCTGGTGGGGGGCCCTGTTGGAACATGGTCTTCAAGTCAGTTGAGTCTTCAAGTCAGTTGAGCCCCTCGTGGCTGCACTCTTGCATGAGACTGGTGGAGAGGACCTCGCTGTTCCTGATCTAAAGGTGCTTGGAGGCCACGGGACTTGCAGTGCATCTTGAGGCCTGCCTCTGGTGTGCTTGGTGCTCATGGAGATGGAGGTATGGCTGGTTGATGTCGGAGCTGCAAATTCAAAGGCCAGAGGCACCGTAACTCCATGACGGTCTCTTGCCTCAGTGCTTCTGCTTGCCTGGCTCTCCACAAGGCGTAGTCGTACAGCCCCCACCCTACCAACATCCTCTCTGCCTCCTCTGGGCTGATGTTCTGTGTCTGTTGGCGCATTCTGGCTCCCAGGGCGGCTCTGCGCACCCATCTGTCTCGTCTGGCAAAAGGCCTCAAGTCTCTCTTTCTCACCTGCCTTCTCTACCAGCGAACGGCAGGCCTGGTACTCTTCTGGAGCTTCTTCTTCGCTGCGGGCCGGGACATTTCTGGCTGCTGCTTCAAGCTCTCTAGCTCTTTTGCCAGCTGCAACTTTGCCCTGGCTGTGGGCTCTGCTTTCTTCTTACTGGAACGACTGACTTTCCCTAGCTGAGTCACTCATTAACTAACTTGCCTGTCATTGCGTAACTCTTGGCCATAGCTGCAACCTCCCTGCACTCGCTCTCTACACACTGACGCTTCCCGAATGTCTCTCTGTCTCTCACTCCGTGCTGTCTGACTGTCTGATCGAACCTGTCTGCCTTCGCTCACTTCTCTTCCTTCAAAGCAGCCTTTGCTTCAAGCCCACAGCTGCCTGCTCTGTCTGCTGCTTGCAGAGAGAAGACACGTCAACACGAAACAACACCACCTATCAACAAGAACTGCATCGGTTTCCTCCATTGGGCGGTATCTGTTTGGCTGTCTGACCTTGTTGCTTTGTTGATTCTGACTTGGGCCATCCCTCTATGTTGCCGGTTTTTTGCATTTTGGCTACCAGTTTTGCTATTGGACTTTACAGACAAATTTTCTCGACCGAGGTTCGAATTCAGATCTGCGCGGCACGCTGCAAAACGCACCGGAACCGCCTATTAACTTGGCAAAAAAACTCGTCAGCCTGCTCCGTGTGCTGCCTCGCACCCCTCTCGCTGAATGTCTCAGCTCTCTGACTCTCTGACAGCAACCTGGCAAGATGCACGACAGGTCGGCGCGAAAGCGGAAGCAAGCAGGCGGCGCGCAATCCTCAGCAAATGCGCCTTGGCACTACGACCTCTGGCGAATCGGACAGTCGAAGCTTGAGGACGGAGTGGCTTTCCGCAGCGGCTTCCACTGTTCGGAAGAGAACTCTGCCGTGTGTGCGCCAGTGGCACTGACGCCGAGCTTTGGTGGAAAGACTCTCCTGATGGGGCGCGCGGCAACGAAAAAGTATCGAAAAACTCAGCGGGGGTTGGGATAAGAGTCGCGGGCCAAAAACGAAAAAGTCACCATCAGTAACGCAACGTTACGTGCAGACTAACGCAGCCACAGGGCAAGAAGTTCAAGCCCGCAGCGGGAACCGGGCCCAGTCTCCACATACTCATTGTTCTCTTTGCGCGGGTAGGTAGGAAACCGCATAGAATAGAAGCGCCAAAAACTGGAAGACTGAAAGTGACCAAGACCTTTGAGAGATCTATTATGCCACATGAGGGAGCGGTCAGAGCGCCAGCGTGTTCCGGACTTGCGTGTATGTGTATGTGTATGTGTGTATGTGTGTGTGTGTGTGTCTGTATGTATGTATGTATGTCTGTCTGTATGGATGGATGGATGGATGGACGGACGGACGGACGGAGGCATGCATATACAGCAGTATATGTCAAAGGTCGCTGATGAATGCCGAGTGGCATGTGAGTGGTCAAAAGGCAGCATCCCCCTGCCCGTTTGACCTGGCAAGTTCCTAACAATGCCGGCAGACCTGGTGGGCAATACCCGTGACTAGCACCGCTTGACACGCATATTTTTGTTATCTGAGGCATCTGAAAGATCAGATTTCTTGCGGATACATCTTACGGGTGCATCAGACCGCGATCTTCCGCAGTGATGCTTTGAAAATACCCGCACTCTGTTGCGTCGAACGAACCTCTTGCAAGGTTCGTGACGGACTGTGGGTCAAAACTTTGATAACTTTGATCACCGGCCGGTATGTCAGGCAGTTCAGGAAGGATATTCCATGTTGTCCCACCTCTATCTGACTCTATCTCATGCTGGACTGATGATTTTCTGGGCTTTGACATGTTTTGACCCATGCTGAGTTGCAATGATTGGACATTCTCAAGGGATCTTTCTTTAGTCCTCAGGCCGCAATTCGCCGCAATCAGCAATGCAAACCTGCTTAGCTCGTCCTTCATATTCATCCTGCAAGTTTAAGGCATCAAGCGGAGTGGAAGCTGACGCAAGAAACATGGGAATTGGCAGGCGCATCCCTGAACTTCCTCGACTTTACACAACCCTTTCAGGGCACAACTATCTCAATCAAGAATGAGTGATGTTCATCGGCGCAATCAGGCAGCTAAGCTTCGCTGCAGAGTCGGTCCTCAATCTTTTTCAGCAACTCCATGCCGGACAAAATCTCACCAAAGCACACCCAGCGGTTGTCCATTTGTG